CTCTTCAGGTAGCCCACGGTGCTTCGGGCAGTCGTGGTTCTTATGGGCCTCGTTTTGAACATCCAGCATTCTGTACACTTTTAGCTTCTATTAATGCACTACCGCTATAGGTTACTACAGTGGTTATTCAGGATGTCAGTCTCAGCTTCAGCAGCCACAATAGCCGAGAGTATGTTTTGAGTGTGGGGGTGTAGGTCACATCAGGAGGTACTATCCTAGATTGGTAGGCAGCAAACCTCACTAGGGTTCTCGTGCCATTATGCCAGCACCGGTCAAAATTTGGTCACGCCTAACTATGCCTTCTAAAAGATAAAGCGGTCGTTGCAAGCATAATTCGATTTTAAGTCCGGAGTCAAATCCTCAGGGAACTAACCTATCTATTACAACTCTTGGCAATGCTATTATCAACTCAAACAATTTCCAGATGCAAGATTTTTATCAATAAAGAATGGGTTTTTTTTACTACTTCAAATGATAATAAATTAAAAATAAGCTAAATCAAAGATAATTCAGTGGTAAAAAGGTCTACGGTATTGATTTCCCCAATTGCTAGTTTAAGTCTTAATTCTTTGGCTATAATCTAGCCGTAATACTTCTATGAGGATTATGAGCTATGGGTTATTTTAATTATCTCTCGATCAACTACGATAATTTACTAGAGCATTCTCTCGAACTACTCTAGCTGACAATTCGTGCAGCTCTGAATTATTCCACCAAAGTTTCGTTATCTCTAACCCCACTTTTAAGTTCAAGTAATGAATCTCTTCAATTACCCAAAAGTGGTGTTGTTCAACAGCACTCTAACCTAGTATTCTCTCTCAAGCAACACAAGGCAATTAGACACGATTAATCAAGGGCCCATTCAATTAATCACCATACAAAATGTAGTTGAACAATAATATAATAAATCCGGCTCGATTATAATAAAGTTGAGTCAAAACATCATCCAACAATTGGTTCCACCAACCCTAGATTAAATGTTTATATACTCATAACAAAGCAAGAGAAAACTACTAAATTATTCATAATGTGAAATTGCAATAATAAAGAGAAGATAGAAAAACTCTAATATTTGGTTGATTTTCTCACACTTGTTCTTGCCTCCAAAGTAGTCTAAAAACAAGCTTAGTGATTTCTTGGATGAGCTTCTGGAGTTTATAAGGGTTTGGAATAAGTTTTTCCCGAGTTACACTTTGGTCCCCAAAATTTCTGGCAACTGCACAGTTCACCGCGGCCGCGGCAGACCTCGGCGTGACCGCAGTGAGAGCCAAACATTCTGCCTCGCGTCTGTGGCCTGCCGCGGTCCACCGCGGTCACGGCGGATTCAAACCCAGTCCACTTTTTGCTTCTTTCTGCTTGGGTGCTTCTTGATTGGACTTTTTTTCATATTATAGACTCCAAAACACTCCATAGTTCTTCCTAACTTGGATTAATCCCTGCGAAGCAAAAGAACACCAATTAGAGCATTTTGTTATCATTTAGACTATAAAAAAACAATAAAGCATGGTATAATTAGGGTGGAAATATCATCTATGTAGCCTATCATCAATACCCTACACTTAAATCATTTCTAGTTCTCGAGCAATCCACCACCCTCTATCAAAGTTCCTTTCCTAAGCTTTCCCTTTAACGAATCACACTAAGAATAATTCACCAAAGTTGCACCTAGTAGTGAACAACCTTTGCCTCAAAAGTCGAATCTCACATATCGTGCAATATTCGTACTTACTCAAACTACTCTATACAGAGGTCAAGACTTATCTTTCCTTCGTGAATCACATTCCCTCATATCGCATAAGAGAGTAGTTCCACAATTAATATTATTAAGAACAATTAGGAACTCAGATGGACAAAATTCGCTCACTCTCCAAGAGAACATTCACATGCCACAAAGATGCACCATAGGCTTGCCCGTAGTGTACTACTCTACTAATCGAGCCTATTCTGTCTAAGATCAATTAGGACTTCACTCAGTTGTAATGTAGGCAAAGGGATGGGTAGGATATATTTGGATATAGTGACTAACCTCCCTAAGCACTTTTAATACAATCACATTAACCTTCCAAATCATACTTATGTCAACCAGACGTTCCACCATATTTTATTTATAACAACTCATTCCTTTAGGTGCATTTGTATCAAGCTACCACTTATCAACTAATACATTTATTCTTTTTTTTATAACATGGCGCTTCTTCTTTTACTCTTCCCAGAACTGCACCTTTCCTCTATTTCATTGGTTCCACTCAAAAACCAAACCACCACCCCTCACTTTAACTTTTGCATATGTCAAGGTCTTTCAAGTGCTCATGGGAGGTAAAAGGGGTTCAAACAGATGGCTATTCAAATAATTGGGTAAGGTTCGCAATGTGGTTGCCAAAGAAACAGGCTTATAGGTTCAACGAGGTTAACTATGATGTATTACATTTAGGTGGGTTTACTTTATATATCTGGCTTAACAAAGAAATGCCTATATCACTTCTAAGACTGAATGAAGCTACTATTTCGCGTTGTAAACACACAGGGCAAGTTCTAGGCAACAAATGTAAAGCATAGAATACAGTACATCTCTCACACACACATGGCACATGAGTCACTCCAGATTGGTTTATCGAGACACTCTCTTTTGAGTGTTCAAGTCAGTTACAAACATACAAATTTAAGGCCCTTTAGCAAGAGTCAACCATTGAGACTAGGCATTACACTCTAGTCTCGATTGTGTTCAGGTGTATTAACGCCAAGGGTTTCTCTTTCTATTTCAGCTCATAGCCCATTAATACTNAAAATGACTTCCCTGAAGATCAATCCTGATCAGAGACGGTGCCAAGATCGAGGTGACATGCTCGTCCTAGCGCCCGAAGCCATCCCATAATCTTCTTCTCCGACTTGGCCTGTTGAGTGGTCAGAATGTCAACTTTGGTGCCCAGGTCATCGACAGAAGTGCGGAGACCAGCCATTTCTTATTCTAGGGCTATCATATGGGGTACTTCAGTGGGGCTGTGATGGGCCTGCCTTATCAACTCTCGTAGGTGGTGGGACAACAGCTTCCTCAGCATCATTATCAGATTCACCATCATCCTCAACCATCACCACCGGCTCTCTTCCAATTCCGATTTGCTTCCCCAGAACGGGGCTTTCAGTAGCAATTTCCCATCAACTCTAAGGTTTTCAGGGACTCTAGCAAGACGGCACAGCTTGGTGACCAGATACGGGAAGTAAAAACCTTTGAGTATCTTAGGTGAGCGAATGAACATCTCATCATGGAGGAGCAGAGTGATATCAAAATCCTGGTGGGTCATAAGACTGTAGATAGCCGCTTCTCGTGGCCCATTGATATTATTCATGTTGTTGGAGGGTAGCAAGCGGCTATTGATAATGGTGAGACAACACTTTGCCTCCCAATTAAGAGACTGCGAGTTCAATGCTATCAGATGCTTTATCCATATAAACTCCCTGTCAGGCACACATATGACATCAAGAATTGGTGTCCAATTGACCCTCGGGTGGGGATAAGCAATATAAGCATCCATCTCCCCCGTGAATATTGGTAGCCGGTACACCCAGCGGATGGCCTCGAGGGACGCATTTACCCGGGTATTGCGTACTGTGACAACCCCATCCTCATGTTCCGGGTAGTTGGCATAAAATTCCCTTACCATCTGTACATTTGCCTCCTCCGGTTCCTTAAAGAAGATGTCCAACTGATGCCTCCTCAACTCAGCAAAGATATTCGGGCATTCCACTTGCAAAGCTGCCCGGTCAATATGCACCTCCGGTAATAATTTCTTAGATGCATTTGCATTGTACCTGTCCTCCGTCGGTTTGGAGACAAACCTAATGCTGTCAAACTGTGCCGCACTAGCTTGACCCCTAGCTCTCGAGGAACTGCCTGGTCCACTAGCGGAGGACCCTGTGTTGCGTCTCTTCCTAGATGGATGCATTTTACCTGTCAAACAGAGAATTGCCTATCAGTGAGGGTGTGTGAACTATGGGTGGTTACTCAGACTTCACCACAACCATGGTCACATTAGCCCTTATAACTCCATTGGGGCAATTCCACAAATACCTTGTGGGCAAGACACTTTCCTAACACATATCACCCATATGGATATATCAATGCTTCCCCCAAATCATAATTTGCACTTCACCATTCCACCCACAACGCTAGTCTTATACACACAAGCACACACATCTCTACAACATAGTGCACACAATTCACTACACATTAAGCACAAAACCCATTACAAAGCAAAAGGAAAATCAAAAGAAAAACTCTACGAAAAATACTACATAATTAAACATTAAACTACATAAAAACTAAAACAAAATACAAGAAAAGAGAAGGAGAAGCATGTCATACCTGGGATGAGTAGAGAGTGAAAGCAATGAGGGTTGGAGAAGATGGGAGATGGGACTGAATGGGAGAAAAGTGAAGAAGAAGAAGAAGAAGAAGAAGAAGAAGAAGAAGAGAGGAGGAGGGCGTTTGGTTAGGTTTAGAGAGAGAGAGAGGAATTGGGAAAGTGATGGGGTGGGGTGGGGGTTATGATATTATTGGGG